CCTGCTTTGGGGGGAAACACTTATATTGTATATTCATTTTCATCACCAAAGTTAAAAGCAATATCAAGTTCACATGTTGCACCTAGCAGCTTCCACTGAGTGGCTCAGACTTTTAAATCCAGAAGTACTACTGGGAACTTGCAATAATGACAAGAGGTCAGTAAAATTCTCTCTCCTAGACAAGTACAAAATTGGGCAAAACTATCTAAAACCACAATTTCAAGACTTGAGAAATCAAGTAAAAACAACAAATCAGGAAGTGTTTATTCATGAAAAAAATCATTAAATTTAAGGTAATAACAGGGTCTATAGCATTCTTGTCTAGAACGAAGTAGCAAAGATTGTAGTAAAAATCAATGAAGTAAGAAATGGAGCCAGACATGGTGGGACTTGCCTGTAATCCTAGCATGAAGGAGGCTGAGGCAGGCAGATTGCTGCAAGTTCAAAGCCAGACTTAGGCTACATAGAGTTCAAGCTACTTTGAACCACCTGGGAAGATCCCGTTTCAAAAAACAAATAAAAAGAAGAGAGAAAAATAATTGTTAAAAATAATCAAAAAATAAGGGCTGGGGACTTAGCTTAGTGGTTCCGCTGCCTGCCTTGCAAGTGCAAGAGGACCCAAGTTTGATCCCTCGTATCAAAACAAGAATCCCAAAACAGGCTTTTTTTTTTTTTTGAGACAGGGTCTCACTTTGTAGTTGAGACTGACCTGGATCTCACTGTGTAGCCCAGGCTGGTTTCAAACTCACAGTGATCCTCCTGCCTCAGCCTCCCGAGTGCTGGGATTACAGGTGTGTGCCACCATGCCCAGCTTCAAAAATAGGCTTTTGAAAGAAAAGTTGATTCCAGTTAATAGGGACTAAAAATCAGGAGACTAAAATCAGGATATCCTAGCAGCCATTTGGGAAAAGCCAAGCTTATCGAATCTGTGAGTGGATGGGCTGACACTGGGAGAGAGCTAGCAGCAGCTGGCTGGGAGAGATTTCATCTGTGAGGGGATGGACTGACACCAGCAGAGACCTTAGCCGCTGGCTGGGAAAGGAACTAGGCTCATATAGGTACAGAAGGGCTGAGGAATCTGGGGTGAGATGTTATTTTTCTTTTTAAAAATTTTTATTTTGAAAATTTGAGATAGGGTCTTAAATCGCCCAAGCTGGCCTTGAACTTGCGATCCTCCCACCTCAACTTAGCTGCTTCCTGCAGGGAGAAGGGGTGCTCACTCTGCCATTGTTGAAAGTGAGTGAACGTATGTCAAGCTGGCACACTGAGTGCCTCTCCCGTACCAGCTCCAATCCCAAATCTCCAAGTGTTTGAACTAAGTACAGCTGAATCTCTTTCACTCAACCCCCTGGGTCCCCTGCTTTGCTCTTAATCACGGTCACCATCAACAAACCCTCAGAGGATGAGGTCACTCACTTCATCTGGCAGGCAGCTGTGCCCAAGGTTTGTACAGATCAGGGTACAGAGACAGCCTAAGCATCCAGGAGAAAGGCCATGAGGCAGAGGCGGTGGGTGGGAGACAGAAAGAGACGGAAGGGAACACACAGGACAGGTACTTAGGAAGTATGGGAAGAGGGTTTGGAGCCCCTCAGTGTAAAGAGATTGCCTGGGCTGAGTCAGCTGCCTGCGTTCTGCCCAATGGGGTGAGATGCTTGGGACGTGCTTCCCCAAGGGCAGTCTACGCAGGGGTGGACACAGTCACTGGACCTCTCCGCGCCAGGGGGTTGTGTGCTGCGTCTTGAGTACGATTGCCCTATGTAGTGCAAAGCTGCTGCTGTTGGCTGAAAGTAGCCTGTGTGCTTTGTCCTGCTTGTTTGTGAAGGACTCAAATCAGGCCTGACAATTATGAAACCAAAAGACGTCTTTGAAAACATCAACAAAATTGATAAACATTTAACTAGACTGAAAGAGGAAGAAGTCTCACAGCTAAGAATTTGTTTAACTTGGATTTTTTTAGCAATGAAGAAATGGTTAGGACTTTGGCAATTCTTGCAGACGGACTAAATGCAGTTCTATAAAGGAATATGCGCTCGCAGGTAGGGCTTGCGGGGGGTTCACTGCATCAGGGGGATGAGCCCAATGAGGAGTCCATAGCGGCTGGGGGGCTGGGAGGAGCCTAGGGGAGGAGGCGGTCAGGGGCGTGGCCTGGAAGGGTTCCCTCCCTCCTCTCCTGGGCCTTCTCTGACAGGCCAGTGCCATGCTGCCCTGCCTTGGGACTGTAAGACCTAAAGTCTCACTTCCACTCCACGGAGCGTGAACAGCCGAAAGGCCTCCACGATGCTGGGCCCTAACAACCCGAGGCTCCG